ACTTAACCTCCTCAAAAAACGCAAAGGGAGTAAGTTATTTCAAAAATCCTAAATTTCACCACGATCCACTGCTCACTCACCGCAACCAAATGTCCTATAGGGTGAGTTCTCCTTGGCAATCGAGGCCAGAAGATGTTCTATACGACAATGATCCTCTGCCTTGGCGAGTTCAAATTCTAAAAGGAGGAAATTTTTAGGTGCGAGGAATTTAGACGGAGCAAAAAATTATGATTCTGCTTATGCAACAAGTGGCCGACAAATTCTGTGTGGCTTGATATATGAACGTAATGAAATGGAGTCTATTGGCCCAAAAAAGAAATGACTGATTAGCCTACCGCTGTGCACAGCCTCGAGTTCACGGTCTACACCATTCTGACTGAGCAGGGGCGCAATGAAGAAGTTGGCAAACTTGTCCAGGCTCGCTTTGAAGTGTTGCCATTGGATGTCAAAGTAGAACATCGTGTATTCTCCGTCAGTGCAAGCATTGCTCGATCCCCCACGCTGGCTGACGTAATCATCGAAGTCATTTTCGCGTGGGTACTTCTCACTGCCCATGAAGACCACTACAGAAGGAACGAGAGGGTAATACTCACTTATGGGAACTAGGGAACAAAAGGTCACTCTGCAGCCGGCTAACTTTATTCTTAACGCGAACCACATAAAATTATCGAGGAGTGGGGGAGTCGACATACAAGCCCTGATGGATAGAAAGAATAGACAGAGAAGTTGAATTTTCAGGGTTTTTTGATGGGGTGTATTGATTCACATCAAAATTGATTGTAAATACCTTTATTCAAATGCGAATTTAACACGAGACAAAAATTACCACTGTACGGGTGGAGATGACTTAGTTTGAAGCAGGGGGTAAATAAAACGTCTACCAGAAGTGGTTGCCACCTCGCAACAGGACTCTGTTTCAGATGCACTTGATGGTAGTTACTATGATGTAAGACAGGTTAAGGTTCTGGTTACTGGCATTTGGTGGAAATCAAATGGACTGCAGCAGATGTAAACCGGACCTGTCGGTGCATGGAGTGCATTGAAGGTTAGTGGTTATATCTTTAGAGTAAACGGCCCTGCCTAATTAAGACTTTCGCGTATTCGTCTAGCTAATGTTTCTATAACTAGTACCAAGGGCTGTTAAAATGAGATTTTGACGGATTTCAAAGAGATCCTAGTAGCAGAAGCAGCCATGAACGAGAGGGATAGAGTTAGGGACATTGGGAGACATCGAATTA